AAGATGAAACCGGGAAGTCCCTTAAACTAGTTAACACAGATGTCATAAAGTAGTAGGGTGTAGTGCAGGAAGCCAAGAGTACAGTCTGAGGTTCTTCCCAGTATACCGAGTATAAGAGAAACCCCTGTGAGCGGACGGCCACTGGACTCATTGTTTATAAAATATGGGCCCTCAGTTGACCATGCGGAGTCCATTTCTGCAGGTGAGTTCACATCAAATGAATCTGTCTTCTCCAGGTTCCTACTAGCTACTGAGTTTTACCCCATGTTGGCCTCTATCCAAACACTAACAATGCATCTGCTCTTGCCATGGATTTACAGTATTCCCTAAATATATGGAAGTGCTCCCTACCCATTGTTGAAAAAATCGTGGTTTAAAAATAGTAGGTGTTAATACATATGGCAAGGGTTTATTTGATAGGTTCAGGGCTTTGGTGCCCTTGGTCACAAATTTTAGGTATCTCTCCCTCTAGGTAGATTAAATATGTAGAACTGAGATTTATATAAGCAACCAATCTGTTTTACATAAATGAAGCCTGGAGTTTAAAGGAAAAAGTTTTTGTTAGAGCTAACTCCTCATTAAAAAGTGATATCAAAGCCCCATCTTCTCTTTTTTGTGTGTTAATTCTCAGATAAAACATATAGGGTGTGAAGTAGTAAAGTCTTAAATCTCTGAAGATAAATCTCAGGGGTCTTGCCTTGAGAGAAATTTCTGTGCAGCAGCAGAAATTTCTCTCAAGGAGCAGCAGAGGGTAGATTTGGATCTGATTTGGGCAAGTGCTACAAAAAGTTGAAAGTTTTGCAAAGGAAACGTAAATTTCAAGGTGGAGAGCAGCACTGTCCTAGTTATGTCAGTCTGTTTGTGAAATTTATTGGGATCATTTATGGAAAGGGGAACAATGGAAAGATACCAAATTTGTCTAAAGAGTGTTCTCTAATGATAAAAGTACTATATGCTCAAGTAAGCAAGATGTGGAAAATAAAATATAGAGAAGAAAGCAAATCTGGTTTCATCCAGAAATAACTACTATAAATATTCTAGTGCCACACACACACACACACACACACATCTCCTAAGAATACATATTCTATATTCTTCTATATATTCTACAATAATATGTATATTCTAAGATATATCCTGGGAATATACAGCAGATACTGTTTGTATCCTGCTTTATTCATTCAATAGTGAATCACTAGCCTTTCTTCATGTCTTTAAAAGTTTTCCCTAAACGTCATTTTGAATGACAGATACTCTTTCAGCAATGTATAGTATAACTTATTTAACCATTCTGCTTTTTAAGGGGTATTTTTATGGAGAAAATTATTGCAAATAAACCTTAGCCATACCTCAATTACTTCCTCATGACTGATTTCTAGATGTGGAATTGCTTGGGGGAACAAAAATATGACCTTTCTGTGGCTCTTAATTTATATTGTTTTCTAGAAAGGTTGTAGCAGTTTATACAAGAATGTCTATTTTATTATACCTTGAAGGTCCTGAATAGTATCTTCTAAAAGATACAAATAGTATCTTTGTAATTTGAAATGCTTAAAAAATTGCAAATGAGTTTTCATTTTTTGATTATGAGTGCATTAGTTACATTTTCCCTTCTGTAAATATGTCTTGGATGTGCTTTTCTATTGAGGGTTTTAGTGTTTTTCTTAAGACATATATTGCTATATAATATATTGAAGATAGTAATTCTTTGTTATATTTGATATATATTATGAATTATATGGTATGTATGTACTTCTAACTAAGACTATTAACTCTTTGTTGACATGCATTTTTGTCTCATATACATATCATCCTCTGAAGGTTTTATCAATTCTTCAAGGACCAGCTCAAATCTTATTGCCTCCTAAAACCCTCCAAGACCCCTGAGGTGAAATGAAGCTTCTCCTCTTCCACACCACCCCATACTTGGTTTTGTTACTCTATAGCACTTGTTTCCATCTGCTTTAGAAGAAAGCTTTCATCAAACAGTCCTTTGCACAAAACAAGTGTGCAATAAATGCTTGTGCTAAATGAAGTAAATCAAAACCATTATAAGCTTAATTTTCAAAGCTAAGAGATCCTTAGTTGCATGTGGAGTAGATTTCACAAAATCAGACACAATCTGGATGAATTTAAAAAAAAACTCACCATGACTTTTTTCTTCATAACGCAAGCACAGGCTGTAGGGATTCGTGACTCCATAATAGTTGGGTTGAAGTTAGTTACTCATATGAGCTTTTTCTAAACTATAACCATAAGGCCATACAATTAAATTTCACTAGGAAAACATACATCAGAAAAAAACATTCTAAGTGACACAGTTATAAAAAAAGAACTAGAAACTAGACAGGCACACTTAATCACAACTTCTAATGGGATTAGAAATATGAAAACAACAACTAAAACAACAAAATGTTCAAGAATACTGAGACAAAATTGCCAGGAGTGATTCTGAATGGTATAATTTTGTTTTATCGGCACCCAGGGCCTTCAAGGAAACATAGCCAATAAATAGGATAGCACATGATGTAGTGGCAGGCTATTTCCCAGGAACACAGATGTAAAAGGCTTGACTACTCCATTGTAAAACTGAAACCCTCAATTTTGTTAGAAAAATAAGAATATCATTTCTTAAAGGAAAATTTATATGAATATAGGTCTAAAGGATGGGTGGCCTGTGAAGCCTGAGTAACATAAAGGTGTCAATTTGTAGCAGGACCACCTGTGTCCTGGTCCCTATGGCACAGGGAGGATGAGGATTCACCTGGTGTCTGGGTGTGCTTACTCCTCCAGGCTGACAGAATCTATTGCCTGAGGCTGCTACCACTGCTCTTGTGGGGAAAATAATTTCAGAGAGAGCAGATCCTTTAGAAAAGGGTCTCCAACCTCCTAGCTGTGGACTGTTACCTGGCTGTGGATGGTACCTGTCCAGGCCTGTTAGGAACTGGCCCACAGCAGGTGGTGAACTTGAATGTAATGAACTTGAATCATCCCAAAACCATCCCCCAACCCAGTCTGTAGGAAAATCACTTTCCCTGAAACTGATGTCTGCTGCCAAAAAGGTTGGGGGCCGCTGCTCTAGAACTTGGAAGCCAAAAAGAAGGAAAACCTTTACGTGGTAGGATGTGCCTTTTTTTTTTTTGAGCTTGTAAGTTCAAAGTGTACAATCAAGGCACAAAGCAGAAGAGGCCTGGAAATGCACATAAACTGTTCTGCCAATAAGATAAACAAGTTCTAACCCTGAGTCACAGACTGAAGAGAAGGCAAGTTCTGGGCAGCACTCTGCATCTCCAACACCCTCGCCTTCCTGACTCCACTCCCTCTCCCAGGAACCATTCCACTGACCAGGAATGGAACAGCAGGGAACTCACAGGGAGCTGCTCGCCATCAACCCATCAACGTGGGAGATTGCAACGTGAGGGGAACTTCTCTGTGAATATTCCTAGAACTGGCAGGCGTGGAAAGCCTAACTGAGATGGCGGCGAAGGGATGTTGAACCCATGTGAGTGCTCACTAAAAGAAAATGAAAGTATGATTAAAAGCTAAATGCTGAACCGAAATAATAGTAGAAAAATTAAATTTTAGAATTGGAATTCACTTTAATGCTGATATGGGGAAGTCCTTCATTTTGCTGCTGAGGTGGTCTGATCTGAAAGTTTAATTACCAAGGTAACACAGCTCATTGACAGCAGAGTGCAGATTAGAATAAAAGCCTTCTTTTTTAAAAAAAAAATTTACTTATGTATTTTTAGAGAGGAGAAGGGAGGGAGAAAGAGAGGGAAAAGAACATTAATGTGTGGTTGCCTCTTCTGTGCCCCCAACTGGTTGCCTCTTACGTTTGTTGTATCATATAACCAGTCAGGGTCCTGTCCTCTCCGCCTCCTGTTAGGAACACCGAAGTGAGGAGCGTTCTCGCATCTCCTGTTGCACAGCGCCAGAGTCTCTCTCAGGTACACAGTTAAGAGTGAGACCACAGGTCACAAGCTGTAATGATTTTCGCTTTTAGAGATAATGCCAGAGGGTTTTTCCCTCCAGCCAGCGATGTTTCCATCGAGCCTACAGCTCTCCACAACCATTGTGAAATGGTATGCTAATGAGGTTGAACTTTTTTGTGTGATTTATGTTTTATTGCCCATTAATTTCCCTCTATGAAAAGCCTATTTATGTTTGTTTTTCTATTACATTGTTTGCCTTTTTCATATTGACTTGTTGGAGTCATTTATGTATTGTAAATACTGATCTTATGTTTGTTGTATCATATAATCAGTCAGGGTTCTGTCAGGGAATAAAACCACACCAATTACTTGAACACAGAAAATGTAATATAAAGAATTTTTAATTAATAGGGGGGTGAGAGATGGACCTAACAGATCTTGAATAGCAGGTGCAAAGCCACCTCCCCCCTCACCCCGGCCGCTTCCAAGGCTGAGATTCAGACCTCTTTGAAGAGGAAAGACACCTGCTAGTGTGCAGCAGAGCTAGTTTTGTTAGAAGCATCCCTCCAGTGCAGAGGGTGTGGTCTCCAGAGTTGGCTCATCCATGGCTGGAGGACACTGGTGGGTGAGAGCTGGTCCGCAGAAGCACTCTACCATTGCAGATGACGGGGGTGACTGAGTCTTCACCTTGATTAGATGTAGGTTAACATTGTTGTCAAGGTGACTTCATCAGTAAAAGTGTATACTTCTTAATTCGACCACACCAGGAAGCACCTAATGAATGATAAATTGCATTACTTGGTTAAGGTGCTGTGTCCTAGAAATCTCTGTAATAAACCCACACTCCCCCTTGCTGTTAGATGACCTGTGAGATGAAATTTTCCACTCAGAGAATATACTGTTCCTTGGTAAAAAGTACATTGTGGATTGCAGAATAATGATTATTCCAATTCTATAGTACTGTTTGCATTTATGAGCCCACATTTTTCTGAAAAGAAGTACTTTCTTTTGATTTTTTCCCTTTTTCTTATTGCAGAAAGTAAGGAAACACCTGAAGACTAATGGGATAATGTCAAAATGATACAGAAATCAGATAGAAGAATTTGGGCCCATGGGCCAAATTTGGAACAATTTGAACACCAAAAGGTATGATGATATAATTAATTATAACATAATCAATAAATAGAATTCATAAATCTGTAGTGGTAGAAAGAGCACACAGAAAGAGATCTTTTGGTTAATGAGTTAAATCCATTTACATGTCTGGTTATGATTATTGGTATATTTGGATTTACTTTTACACTCTTACTTTTTGACATCTACTTTGTTATGCTTTTCTGTGCTTCTCATTTTGTATTTGTTTGTTTGTTTGTTTGTTTTGGAGAGATTGAATTTAGCTGTTAGTGTTCATTGTTTTTGCTTTTTCCTTATTCCATTTCCTCCTTTGCAATTTTGAATTTATTCAGTCTATTTATTTAATGTTTGTCTTTGAAAAATGACCATTTATAATTAGCTTTACAAATTTAAAGACAAGCAAATCTATGCCTCCCTCTTAGACATGCAAAGACCTTAAAATAATAACTCCAATTACTGCCCACACCCCCAACCTGGTATGCTAGTATATTCCAACATTGTAGTTCTGTTTCATCAAAAATTTTATTTTAAAGCATTTTAAATTAGAAATGACCATCATTTCTATTTTATATAGAAGCTTTTGTTTGGGTTTACATTTATGTTCATCATTTTGTGAATTTACCATCCCTTCCAGCACCTTAGCCTATCCTTCTGGGATCATTTTCCTTCTTCCTAAATTACATCTTCTAGTAGATCCTTCAGTAATAATTTCTGGGTAGAAAACTCTTGGAGTTTGTTTATTTGCAAATGACTTTACTTCACTTGCTTTCTTTAAAGAATAGTTTTGCTAGGTTGATGATTCTTTTCTCTGACTACTGGGTGATATTATTCCACTGTCTTCAGAATCCATTCCTGCTATCGAGAAGTCTGTTTCATCTAATTGCTATTGCTTTATGACTAAACAGTCTTTTTATTTCTGTTTTCAAATTCTTCTCTTTGATTTGGGTGTTCTGAAGCTCTACTGCCATGTGACTATGTATGGGCTTCTTTTGTTTATACTGCTAGAATCCCAGAAATCTGGCTTTTAAAAGCCTTCCTGAGGGTTGCACATCAAAGTTTGAGAACCGGTGCTCAACAGCTCGGAAAGCACACCATGTAGGGAGTCCAGCCACCTGGGTCATGCTGGGAAGCCTATGCAGAGAAATGGAGAATGATGCCCAAGGAACTCCAGCTGATTCAGCTCTTGGCTGCTTGATGTTTGTGTTCAATGTTTTTAGTGTATCTTTGAATAGATATATGCAGTGCTGTTTGTATGTGTGTTTTTAATTTACATAAGCAGTATTGTACTCTTTCTTACATTTTTCACTCCACAGTACATTATCAGGTACTTCTCACCACCGAGTGGTATTTCATTGTATGTATCTACTATATTTAACATTCATTTTCCGAACGATAGGTATCCAGGTTACTTTCGACTACCTGCTACCAAAACAATGATCAGCATCCTCATAACACCATGTCCACTTCAGGAACCTACACAAACTTCTATGAAGAATGTACTGATGGATGAAAAACTTAAACTCCCATTTTTATTTAAAATAATATTATTAAGCCCTGGCTGGCATAGCTCAGTGGATTGAGCGTGGGCTGGGAACCAAAGTGTCCCAGGTTCGATTCCCAGCCAGGGTACATTCCTGGGTTGCAGGCCAGAACCCCCAGCAACCACACACTGATGTCTCTCTCTCTCTCTCTCTCTCTCTCTCTCTCTCTCCCTCTCTCTCTCTCACTCTCCCTCTCCCTCCTTTCCCTCTCTAAAAATAAATAAATAAAATCTTAAAAAAAAATAAAATAAAATAATATTATTATAGTGTAAGATTTTTTACCCTATAATATTAATATTACCCAGAAATTATTAAAGACTGGTTGGGATAGTCACTACAAGGAACCTTCATGTTTTCATACACACAGATACACATATATAACACACATATTCCATATTCTTGGTTTGGGGGTTCAAACAAAAAAAGTCACACAAGTGACAAGTTGTTAATAGTTATAATATTTTCTAGTAAAGTCTATACTAATTGGTGCTTTTCTTATAAACTCTGTACACATGGAAGCAGCCGAAGAGTGCAGCTCCCTGTGGGAATGTGAGTTCCCCAGGCGGTTGGCAAAAGCAGAGTCTGAGTAAATATATAACCAGTTGTCAGTGAGGAAGCCCTGGGTTAGCACCATGTGCATTAAAATTCAAGGAGTTTACTGCTGTCTCATAACAGGTCATTCTTCAGAACTTGTATTGGTATTTTTTATTTTGTGAATTTTTTAACTATTCAGAAACACGTTATTTTAATGTCCTTAGAAAGGCAGAATTTCAAAAATTTTAGTCATATGAAACTTCTTTTTGTGAGTTTTGCCATATCCTTGAAATATCTGAACTTTGATTCACTTAATATATTTTAATGGACACATTTAAAAAACTTATTCTCATCATAAGAAGGGATATCTCTGAGATAGATGTGCTAGTAGTATTTTCTAATTCATAGTAAGTTAAATTGCCATTTTAAAGGTTACTCTCCCCTAAAACTCAATTGTGCCAGTAGTGATCCCAATACTACTGCAGGAGAAATGCCGAACAAGACATGGACTGGAAGCAGGATGAACAGCTGCTCTGCATCTCTTCTTCGTGGTCTTCCACGAAGGCCCACTGGATCTTCCCACTGCAACACTTATTTGGTGCGTGAGTGTGTGTGTGAGTGTGTGTACGAGTAGTGCATACTTTCTCTGGGGTGTGATGGGTAAGCTTGGGGAAGGGAAAAGCCCAAGATAATCATGCCTGCACTAAGGTTTACAAAAAGAATAAAAGCGATCAGCCAATTAGTCCTTATAGACTCACCTGCAGACGTTATCATGGACATTCTGAGGTGGAAGCAGCCAAAGCTACTCATTGGAGACCGTCACAGAGATACTTGGAGAGCAGGCACCTGGGATACAGAAAGCCAGGTGTGTGTGTGTGTGTGTACTCTTCCCGCACAGAACCACACTGATCACTTTTTTGGTCCAATCCTGTGCCACTGAAGAGTTCCTTAACACAGGGCTGGCTGGAATTAGAGCTTTGTCCTCAGTGTGCAGTAAGTTGAAAGAGGCCTTGAGTATGACTACTAAGTATTGGCCAAAAATATTGTGATAAAAGACTTTTGAGCCTACAAGCTTATTTCTAAAGCTACTCTAGATGCAACCAGGCCCAGATCACTTGTATGTTTATCACTGTCCTATTAGCAAAACCATGAGAGAGATTTTTGATAAAAAATTAACTCAACACCAAATAGGAAGTTGTTTTTTTAACATTGAGAATTGCAGTGTTTTATTTCTTTATGAGTGTCTTTTCTATGCTCTGGAAAATTGTCATACTCCTTTCTAAGATAGGATCAGCTTCAGAAATTTTATCCTTTGTGCTTTCAATGGCGGAAAAATCCGAGAGTTCCTTTAAAGTGCAGTTTTACATCTGCGTTACTTCCTCTGAGACGCATTCATCCTTCGTGACACAACCACTTCTTCATTTCGATGTTTGTCTTTGCTAAGTTCCGCTGGCAGCATATCCAGAACAACTTCTTGAATAGAGGCGGTGTCAACTTCCCAGGGCCAACTACATCTCCTAGAGCTCCATTTATATTCATCCAAATCTGGAAGTTTATTTTTCCTTTCGTACGATCCTCTTGCACCACTGTGCAAAGCCAGGACTGCCTATAATTCTTGGAGTCAGGGTGAAAATTTCAGAGCAGCATCTTTACCTGAGCTTGCAGTTTCTCCAGATAGTTTAAGGTCAACGAATTCATGCAGACTTCTGCAACAACAAAACCAGCTTTTACTGGAAGTAAAATGTTCTTTCTGTCTCCTTGTAATTACCATTTCCTTCAGTGCGGCACTTTGACTCTTTGGTCTGAATGGTGGAGAAACTGATTGGGATGAGTTTTTGATTATAGTGCTCAATCTAAAATAGAAGTAAATGCCCCATTTCAACCATAAGTTGCTTTCTGTTTCTAGTTTCACTTAAACTAAGGTGAATATAAAAAACTTTATATAGTTTTTAAATATTCATCAGGCTTTCAAAATATGGATTGTACCATAGCTTCATGTAGGCCTAGGTCTCACCTTTACTTTGCTATCACCAGTTTTAAATCTAATCTATCCAATTTAACTTCTGGTGCTATCACTTTTTGTTTATTTACTGTTGTCATCGTTGTTGATTGATTGCCTCTTTTGATGATCTATTTTTATAAAATGTCATGTAAGTTTGTCACGTATAAATCTTTCAACTCTTGCACGGGTAAGTCAGACAAATGTTTCCTAAGAAAAACAGCCTTCAATTTTATTTCTCCCCAGCATATTTCAAGTCATCTTCCAAGACCTGAGAATTTTTTTCCCAATATCTCCAAGAATATAATTTCTTGAACTGAGCCTTTTTTTTTTGTCTAGAATCTGGACAAAGTAAACAAAAAGGGAAGAAAGAAGCAAACTTGCTTGGAAATGTTATAATCATTCTTGTGAGTTTATTTCCTTTTTAATTCCTGTATTGTTTGCAAATGGTCTTGCAAAAAATGTTTATTGAATTAAAAGTTGATGTGTTCACATATTAGACTCTTCAAGCTCCTCTGGGGTCACCTACCTACTTCCAAGCATACCAAGAGCTCCTACATTATCTCCACATTGGGAAACGGCCAGATAAAATGGAAAAAAAATGGCATGGCTTTTTGTAAATAATTTATTTTTGGCTTAATTTGTCTTCAGTATTTCTAGGGCACACACATTTATCCCTCTCCTATCCTTTCTTTCCATCGCATCCATTCTCTTTCAGAGCTTGCATCCACAGACCCATCGGCATGCCCTCTGGATCTGCCTCAGCATCAGCCCTGCCTCACAAAAACATTGGTCCTGCCCCACAGAAAGGGTGATGGCACTGGATTCAACCACAGCAGGTGAAAATGGCAGAAAAATAAGTCCAGTACAGCAAAATCCCCTAACCACACTTGAACCAAACGTTTTTTTAAAACTTTCTTATAGAACTTTCCAAATCTACACAAAAATAAGGAGGATAGGATAAAGAACCTGTATGTATCCATCCACTAGCTTTAAAAATGATCAATTTTAAGAAATCTATTCCTTCTAGCCCTGGCTGGCGTAGCTCAGTGGATTGAGCGTGGGCTGGGAACCAAAGTGTCCCAGGTTCGATTCCCAGCCAGGGTACATTCCTGGGTTGCAGGCCATAACCCCCAGCAACCGCACATTGATGTTTCTCTCTCTCTCTCTCTCTCCCTCCCTTCCCTCTCTAAAATGAATAAATAACATCTTTAAAAAAATCTATTCCTTCTTCCATTTTTTTGTAGTATTACAAAATTCTTCGATATGTACCCCTGAAGATATTTTTGATTTGGATATAACTGTCATGCCACTATTACATCTAACAAAATTAACAATAATTCATTTATAGTTTAGTCTATTTCTGATATTCATGATTGCCTCAAGGGTGCTTTTCACAAGTGGTTTGTTCAAAACAGGATAAAGTTCACACATTGCACTGCATAATTATGATTCTTAAATGTGACTCTTTTACAGTCTGCCCCTTTTTTCATGCCATTAATTTGATAGAGGGACTAGGCCATTTTTTCGTGCTGAATGTTCGACATTCTGGATTTGACTGATTGCTTCCTTGGGGTGGTTTTTAAATTTGATTCTCTGTCTCCATATTTCCCATTAGGTCCAGTGGCTTGATTAGATTCAGACTCAGTTTCTTAGGCAAGAAGACCTCATATTGACTGGTTCTTGGTGTTGCGCGTGGGTCACCGGCCAGCAGTGACCACGGAACGCTGTGGATGGCTCGACGATAAACACGCGAGAAAAACAACACATGCACAGAGACAAACTAGTTTCTGTGGAGAAGTAGGGACAAAATGGCCACCCCCCCTAGTGGGGAGCGCGCCGATTTACAGTCCATACCTGCTTTTATTGGGCTCATTCTGCATAATAATTCAGGTAAAGTACAGTATTCATTAGGGGAAGTAAGGAACTATAGAAAACAAAGAACTCTGCCGGTCTATTGAGTTGGGGTCAAAGAGCTGTAAGACTGAGGAACAAACTAACTTCCTCCTAAGACCCTTCTCATTCAACTGAGAGCATTCTAAACAAAGAAGGTTTCACAGTAATTTACATGTTCTTTCTTAGGCCTGATCACCCCGGGAAATCCGCACTTCTCAGTACCGAGCTGCACCACCCTGTCATTGTTTCAGGCTTAGGTGGAGCAAGAGAACTAAGGCAACCAAGAGATAAGGAGATTTTCTCCCAGACGCTGAGAACTCAGGCTATGTCAAAGCAGAGGAGCGAGGGTCCATCACCCCCTTTTGCTGCAGCCCCCCAAGTCCTTCTTTTGGGGGCCTTCCAAAGTGATCGTGCCTGGCTTAGGTCGTTCCCCCGTGGGGAATCTTACCCGTCTTTGGCTAACCGACCAAGCTTTTGGGGGTTCAGTCATGAATAAAGCAGCAGAAGCAGCATTCCTGCCAGGAAGACAAGCTTTTATCTCCTTGCTGGCTTAGGGTTCCAAGGGCGTTCCCTTAGCCTTAGCTAGGCGGGGGTTTCAGCCTCTGATACCAGTCAGGGCGGTTCCCAACATCTTGGTACTTCTGATTTTGTCATATCATGGTGCACATATATGCCTGGTTGTCAGATGCTCAAGTTTTAATTTTTTTCTTTCTTACTTTAGTTGCTCTGTCTTTTTGGCAAGATTCTGAATTATGTTACATTTCTTATCTCTGCCCAATCAAAGTAAAAACAAAAGTTGAAGTTTACATAGACAAAATGACTTCGCAGAATAGCAGTGGAGCTGAGTGTCTTTGACAATTTGTTTTGAGGATGGGAGGTGGGGGTGAGCGTGGGTGGGGGTGGGGAAAGGGATGGTGGTGAAATGGAGACAACTGTACTTGAACAACAATAAAAAATTAAAAAAGTTAAAATGTGAAAAGAAGAAGCTTCTCCTGCTTCATAGACAAAGGGATTGACTGCACAGGGGAAAAATGTGTAAGACATGAACTCTTTGGGTTACTGAATGTAAAATTTCAAAAAGCACATCATTAATTACAATATTTATAAACTACATTATTAAAAGTCAGGATGAAAACAGCTGAAATCATAGAGTTGTTTGCTAATTAGCTTATAGATTTCCAATGCCATTTGCTTCTAGCCTTTTTCCTCTTCCTTGGGGAATTTAATGTGGCATTTTGCTGCTTTTTAACACCTCCAGAAACTACTGTATGCTTACAACTGACCATAAATTGTACATGTGGAGAGACACATGAGATATTATGACTCAGGATCCATGCTGTGTCACTGACTGAGATGAACTGTGAGCAGTTTGCACCACAGTTGCAGATTTTCAGACCAGAAAGTATTTAGGATTCTGCTGACTACCTAGCATGCTATCTATTGCTTGGTAAAGAAATGGAAACATAAATCTGAAGGTCAATATGCCCACTGAAGAAAGAGATAGTGTATCACCATGCTCCTCGGGTGCTAGATGTGTTCTGCTCTGGGTCCAGCCCTGGGTTCTCTGGCTATGACTGTACCCAGGGAGCTTTGAAAACCACTGATGCCCATACTTTACCCCAGAGCTGGGTCTGGGTCTTTGACGGTGGCACCCAGACAGTGGTTGTTTGAAATGCCCCTCAGGTGATTCTGATATGCAATCAGGGCTAAAAATCTCCAATCTAGCCCATAAATAAGAGGTACCAATTTTAGGTCTTACTGTGCAGAAAGTCTCCTGCACATAAGGAAACTGATGCTTGGAGAGAAGGTATTTTCTTAATGTCTTGCTACAAAGTAGAATTTCATGTCCAGTCTGTATGGCTTCAGAACTAGGGGCTTTGAACTTTTTTTGAAAATGATCCAAAGTAGGACATGAAATTTACATCATAACCTAGAACACGCAGGATAAGGAAAACCAAGTTTAACAAATAATCTTATTAAGTATGATGCACTGTGATATTGTTTTATTTAATTTTTAAAATCCTGATCAAAACTCACTGAAATGATTTCATGACTTGCAGTTTGAAAGACTCTGTTCTAAACACAGAGCAAGATCTTTTCCTGCCAGTGCCTTCTTGTTTCGTTTGCTTCCTCATCTCAGTTTTTAAAGGCCATCACATCAGTTCCTGGCTAAAAACCATTTCCCAGGACTACCCCAGTACAGAGTGTTTCTTATTTTAATGCCTAGAGTTAACACAGAGACCTCATCACACTTTTTGAAATACTAACATATATGGTATATTTTCTTGCTCTGTAATTCTTTTATTTTACATGGTTATGTCTCCTTGACAAAATTTAACCCCATTTTGGATGGTGACCATGTTGTATGCTTTTGCTTCTGTGCTTTTCAAAATGTCTAGCACATCACAGATGCTAAAAACAGCTGTGTGACTTGTAGACAAGTCAATCTCTGGGCTTTTATTTCTTTTTTAAAAAAATCAATTAAGTTCACTGGAGTAACATTGTTAATGACATTATGTAAGTTTCAGGTGTACAACTTTATAACAAGACATCTCTAGACATCTCTATAGCCCAGCGTGTGCTCACCACTCAAAGTCCAGTCTCCTTCCCTCACCACACACTTGAACTCATCTACGCTTTTCATCCCCCTCCCCGCTGAGCTTCATTTTTTCATCCCTGGAATGGAAAGGGCTGTTTCATCTTAACTCTAAAGTCTCTTCCAGGTTTTTAAGTCTACTTTTCTGTGATATCTAAGAAATTCTTCCATAAAATATAGAATGAAAATAATATCTGAAATGTTTTTATGGGCAACTGTAAGAAAAGTTTTTGTGTGTGAATAAAAAGGCTGAAGTGGAATGCTACTTTCAGTACACAAAATTTAACTCTGTGCTATCTCTGAAAAGATTAAGAACAACTTATTGGAGTTTGAAAATGAAGCTGGGACCTATGTCCCTTGGATACTGAAATGTGATTATTCATAGGTCACATTTCTTTCTCAAGTTGAATGAATATATATGCAACAACAAATTTCCACAGACTCTTAAGTTGAATTGATTACATAATAACACAGGGCTTAACAATGAATGTGGGGTTAGGGGCATGTGCAGGCAGATGTATATTGATTTAGGAAAAGATATTGACTACAACTAGGTTTTAGATATTCTTTGTTTACAAGTGGTTTGTTAAACATTACCCAGGGTCTTCCCAGTGGCTTCTAAAGCCAAAAGAGGTGCCGGCTGGTTCATTTACTTAAAACCCCACAGCAGTCAGCAAGCTTCTTATTCTGAGACTACTGGCGGAGGAGCCAAAGAGGTAGTCAGGTCCTTTGGGATATGTCTGTGTGCGTTTGGGGAATGGAGGGCTGTGGGGCATGGGTCATTTATGGTTTTTTGTATTCAACATTCATTTCCTCTTTGTTAACAACACTAATTTTCTTTTGGGGAATCTCCTCTTTCCATGTGGCATGGGTATGTACTGGGGAGAGGGTGGGCACTACAGATGTCTGCTGTGACCTTTTTCAGACACAGGTAAATGACCCCAACCTGGCTGTGCGTATTCCATCCTGTGGTTATAATGCCTCCACGGTTATAGATGGGCACAGAATCCAAGTGAGTCCAGTGAGACTCATTCCTTGGCCTGATCTGCTAAATGAGATCAATTGCCAAGGAGCCTGGAGGAGGAGGTAAGCCTGGGCCTGCAGGTCTAGGTCCCAATTAGAGAAAATGAAATGAGTGTAATGAAAGCACAGCCATGATAAGGAGAGAAACTGAATCCTGACACTCTTTGAGTACCTGGAGAAAAAAAAAGGGTTTAGAAAAACTCTTCCCCACCCCCAGCTTTACTCTTGGGATTTATAAGCATATGAGCCAATACCTTTCAATCTCCTTCACTGTAGGTTTCCTTGTCAGTTTGAGATGGATGCTCTGTTACATCTAACTATCCTGACTATACAGGAGATTATCACAAAACCAGGATATCTGCACTCTTGGTAACTGCCAACCTCCTCCCTCATCTTAATGTGTGGTCCAGGCAGGACAACGCCTTGTAGTTTTTTAGAGGCTTATTTCCTCTCCATCTTGTAACAGAAGTTGCTTCAGCCTTTTGCATATATTCTCCCTGCCTTCTTCCTCCACATGTCCACATGCGCTTATTTCACAGATGCAGGTGGCAGGAGAGAAAGATCTGATGTTCAGCTGCAGGCTATGGATGTGAGTCTGTGTGCAAATTAGAAAATGACCCTCTCTCTGAGCCTCACTCCCACCTCTTTGGGGCCCAGGCTGGGTCTTCACCTCAACTGCCTACTTACCTCCACTTCCACCTCCACCTCTGCCAGAGGACACTGTGCAGGGTTCAAAGGACACAACAGGATGCTGAGGCCCTATGGTACTAAGCAAGAGTCAGAGCCATGAAAACAGCCCTCTGCTGTTCACGCCCATTGTTACTGTGGTCTCTGCCTAGGCTGACCTTAGCTGCTGATGCTGTGTCTTGGGGGCACCCCACACTGGGCATACCCCACTGTAGTGTCAGCAGTCATAGCAAATGTTGATAGGTGGGAAATCAGTATCACTTGTCACTTGAAAGCAGCACTTCCCGTATCATTTATGGTTTATAATAGTATCATCAAGTATGGTTTCTGGAGGACCTTCCTCGAGTTCAGTTTGGAGGTATTTAATCCCAGTCTTTGTTGATGGAAGGCACTGGTCCAAGAAATCCAGCTGAAGGCCACCTGGTAATTGGCCACTGGACGAGAACAGGGCACTGGGTGAAGCAGGGCATTTGGCAAGGTTCCCATGCCACTCACCAGTGACACCTTCAAGGGCTAGTCTAGGAGCCCCAACTGGTCTTTAGTTGTTCAGTCTCCTGAACTCTTGGGGGAGGTCTTCATTAATGTGTTAGAGTTAAAGGAACAATAAGCAGGAAACAAGGAAGGAAACGCAGTTCCACTGGCTTTGGGGGTGCAGGCCAGGGCAGCCTCATAGGGCAGAGGGAGGGGCGTGTGTGTGTGGGTGCTGGGAGGGTGGGGGGAAGGTAGAAGACAAGACTCAAATGAGGAGAGGGCGATTAGGAAAAGGCTCGAGGTTTCAAGGACCATCGTTGGGGGGCGCAAGCCGGGACGAGGGTGGCTCCACATGCCTGGTCGAGCACTTATACTACCTTTGCCCAGGCTGAGAGGCCACCAAGACCTGGAGGGGAGCTCGGGAAGCAGATAGGGAAGGACGAGTGCAGCATCCCAGGGGCACCCCTGACGGCGGCCTCCGGAATCTCTGTCTCTGCTCCCCACGCTCTTAACTTGCTTCCCCTGCCCCCTCTCTCCACCCCCTCACCTCCCTTGCTAAAACGCGGAGGGCTCCTTTAAGAGGGAGCTTTGATTACCCTGGGGGCGGGAACCCCCAGCAGAACGAGAGGCGGTGGCTCCCAGCCGCGGAGGTCCTCACTTTCTGCTCCAGCTCCCGCCGCCGCCGCAGCTAGGAAAGCCACTACCTCCTCCTCTTCCTCCTCGTCTTTCTCCTTCTCCTCCTCCTCCTTCTCCCCAGCCTGAAGCGTTGTCTTCTGCAGCGGGGGAGAGAAGTGCTATGTCAGGAAAGTTCCGGGAGGCATTGGATGGGGCCACGCTCCCTGCGCTCTGCGGCCGCCGGCGCGCAACCCTTTGTATGAGGTGGGACTGGGGTCCTCGGGCGCCCGGGACAGGTAGCGGCGGGCGGGAGCCCTCTGATCCTCCGCGCTGGGGAGGGGGGTGCTATAGGGCAGAGTGTGTGGCAGAGGAGGAGGCTGGTTAGCCCGAAGTTGTGCGGTAGAAGCTCGGGTTTTCGGGGAGATTTTTGTGGCTGTTCTTGAGTGATTTCAGCGGCCAGCGCCGCACGGCGGAGCCGGCCGGGACTCGGTTTCCCCCGGCCCCACTTCTCCGGGCCTCCCGACGGCGCTTGCCCCCATCCCCGCCCGCCCGGGCAGTGAGGCCTTCTAGGAAAGCTGGAGGCTGCAGGTTGGCTGCCAGTGCCGGAATCCTCACCGCAGGGCTCGCTCCCCGAGACGCGGAGCACGGAGTGAAGGAGGGGATGGAATCCTCTTGAACTTTTACACCGTGGTCTCACCACTCTTTGCGGGTGATATTCACCTCGTTTGCCCAATTGGGAAGGCTCCTCGCGAGCTCCGAGAGTTCGGAGAGGTTGCCTCTGGCAAGTGGGTAAGCTTGCGGCGCTGTGAGTCTTTTCTGCCTCGGTCGGTGTTCAGCGCCGCCCTGATTTTCGTTCTCCCTCCCCCGCCCCTATTGCTTTTGGGATTTTTTTGTTTGTTTGTTTTAAAGAAAAAATATCCTAGAGGCCCAGCGTGCTAAGCAAACCCACTCAGCAACATATCTTTCTGAAATTTGCACACCCACCCCCCCACCCAGCAGTGGCCCGAATTTTCAAAGTGATCGTGTAGTCCCTGATTGAATATTTAGACTTGGTCCTCCACACTTAGGAAGTACAGGGAACCCTGTAAAAGGTATGCAGGATTTCTCAGTGATTAAGATGAGTTGTTAGCCATATTTTAAATAGAAGTTTCTTCTTCTATTTAAAATAGAAGTTTCTCTGTATTTGTTGATTTTCATTGTCTTAAGTTAATAGCCTTCACCTAATTTTAGGAGTATTTTCCTAAGAATCATGAATAAAACCGTATGTTTCTTGCATAATTTAACATTGCTTCTGACAGTTTTACCGTCGGATGCGGTATCTAGTACATGTAATTATTTGGTGAAACCTGATATGTAAGTACATTTATGACCCAAATGGGTGTTTTCTTTTTTCATGTGTTGTGTGGGTGACTGAAGCCTATTTTCTCACATCCCTAGGTCTACCACACCTGTCTGTTCCTATTTCTGTCTTCTCCACTGATGCTGTGTATGTCTGGTATCAGCTAGAAATCAAAGGTGCTGATGAAAAGTCCCTATATTTTGTGAAGCATTGTAATGGCCCAAATTTTAATGACATAATTGATTACACCATCCAAATTATTTTGAAAAATAAAAATAGAATGTGGGAGCTTATTTGAAGAAAAGAGTACCATGAAGTAGTTAATCAAGTATATGCTTTACATATAATGTTGTGTGTGAAAAATATACTACCAAAATAGGGACTATTGTGGCTAACACCTCGCTTGCAAATGGGAAAGGAGTGAAAGAAAATTATTCCAGTACAACCATTAATATTAAAGCAGTGTATTTAGGATATAGATTTTATCTCTGGGCACAGTTTTGTCACTGTGCTGTACAGTATACCGGAACTGAAACTTTTTGGAAAGAACTCATAATTTCAAGCATTTTCTGAAAATTTGCAGCAAACTGAACATTCTTGGGGAAAAATTCACTTAGAAAAAGGCACATACTCAAAACCCTAACTACAGTTACCCTAACTACAGTTACTTTTACCTGAACTTTGCTGGACTCCAGGCAAGTAAGTACTGTATTCAATAAGAATTGGAGTTTCTAAGGTAGATGTGATGTAGTTCTTGAATTGTATTGATTAATGAGTCCCTTGAGATTTATATGTGATTTATTTTGATTTGAGATGATTTGCTTTGTGAATGATTCTTTTTGAAAGTAGTGTCACAACATATAAAATCTCTATCTATATGTATCCATCTAATATATGTAAAAGGGAAATAGTACATAATATTTATTATATATAACATATAATTATATGTAATAATAATACATTATATATAACAGTGAAGAATTCAGGGGCTTGATAATACAGATACATTGAGAAGAGCAGATCTAAAAGATAAAAAGCTAAAAATAGTTACTGTTAGAGCTTGTCATCTCTTCCGCATTTTCATGAAATCAGTTAAAATATACTGTTTCCCAATATTTTCTTATTCTGGTGCAGAGCTTGGACCAGGGAGTCATATGCCAAGGATCCCCAATCAAACATTTATTGACACGGACTGAGTTATTCCATCGAAGGACGATTGAATCAGATATTTCTTAACCTTCAGCAGAGGAATCCCTAGGTTGAATTTACCTTGTTTCTTTTAACACTTCGAATGACCTTCAGGGCATTCCCCATTGGTCTGGGCTTACAGCAAGGGTGTCTAACCTGTGGCCCAGGATGGCTATGAATGCGGCCCAACATAAATTCCGTAAATTTACTTAAAACATTATTTAGTTTTATTTCTTAGATATGTACATTTTCTATATTAGTGATCATAAACTTGGGACCTGCTTGATGATTTTAAAAGATTATCAAAAGGGCTGCTGCATAATTAAGGTTATTATGTAAAAGAGTTTTTTGCTTTTCTGTGGTGGCGAATAGCACGAAAATTATGCACGGACCTTTTTTTGCTCATCAGTTTTTGTTAGGGTTTTGTGTATTTAATGTATGGCCCAAGACAACTCTTCTTCCAGTGTGCCCAGAGATTCCAAAAGATTGGACACCCTGTCTTAGAGAGTAGATCTCAAAGGCATGGGGAGGCAAACTTTGGGAAAGTTTTGGTATTACAATTTGTGCATTGATTTCCTAAGTATTTGATTTGAAAGAGGTACCCATTAATGCTTGGAAAAATAAAACCTATATTAAAATTTTAAGAAATTTGGATAGGCATGGAAGGAGAAATTTAATGTTACATGGTAACTAACACAAGGTCAAGAGCAGAGTGTTTGTCTGGAGGGTGTTAGGTATGTAATTTTAAGTTGTGGGAAAATTGAGCATGTTTGGAAGTAATAGAGCAGTGTGAATAGAGAAAGGAAGATTGAAGATAAGGGAGGAATAATAGAATTTTTATTTGAAGTATTTATTATGGTAATTTTAAATGTCCACAGTTTCTTTGTTACTGTCCCATCAAGAGGTAGAGACTAATTCTCTTCCTTTTTTTAGGGGCCGAACTTAGTGATTTATTTCTAAAGGATTGAATGTGGTAGAAGGGATACTATGTACTTTACATGGTGAGTTTAGAAAATAAGTAGTTTTTCTTGGCTCTCTCTTCTAGGATTTAGCTATTGAAACCCAGTTACCATGCTGTGAGGAAGCCCATCCCACATGGAGAGGGCACCTGTAGGTATTCCTGTTGAGATCTCTGCTAACAGCCAGATCAACTGCAAGATATCTGGATGAGGAAACATGCAAGATGATTTAGCCATTCCTTACTGAGTAAAAACCATCCAGTGAATCTGTTAAACCCTCAGAACTGAGGTAATGATAAAAATTGCTGCTGCATTCCACTGAGTTAGGAGAGGTTTATTATGGAGCAATAGACAGAATATTTTTGAGTACTCCCTGTATACCAGGCACTGTGTTAAAGATGGAGCGTATAAAGATGTTCAACATCAGATCTGTTCTCTCTGTCCTGAAAGAGGTTTAAACCTAATAAAAATATTAATTGCATAATCCTATAATATGTGTACACTTTCAGTAATAAAGTGCTCAATTGATAAGAAGACAAATACCTATAATACAGGGCTCCAGTCACTCAAGCAAAGCTCTGAGATATTAATACATTCCACAGCTGAAGCTGCTACATTTCAGCATATGTAATGAAAATTAGAAATGGGGCAGAAAACTGTGCCTGAACAATGATTAAAAAAGAAAGAAAGAAAATGGAAGGAAATAATTTTTTAAAATGATTTTTTTGCTTTAATTTGCTAGCTATTTACCAGAAATGTGATTATTTTTGCTACAAATGCCCTTTACTCATTGCATGTAGCAATTTTTTAAAGCTATGACATGTGTGTATTTAGGGTGATTTTTTAGTTGTTTACTTGAAACAGACAGTAATGTGTTTCCCAGAGTTTATGTTGTATGTCTTGGGCTCTAAAAAAAATAGCATTGGAAATGTTTGACTGTGAGCCTGAAATCTCAGACTTTCAATATTGATGGGATCTTGGTCAGTTATAGTTAAAAGTTTCCTGGGAATTTTCTGTTCAAGGTCAGATGTGGCCTTAATTTCAACTGGATACTCCACATAATAGGTGCTTTTGCAGCCACAAAACATGCAGAACATTCCAAATAATTTGCAGTGTGGGCTGCCCAACATGGTTTAGCATTTAGTTGGCTTGAGGCAGCTTGCCATGCTTGTAAAAAATGGTTTCTGAAGCTGACAGACAGCGAGCTGTTTTAGTCTTTGAGTTTGACACATAGGATAAAGTGCCTTTTAGTTTCTGTGCCAGTAAATGTGGACAAGATTGGTAAGAGTAATTTGTTTCCATTTCTGTCTATGTGGCAGAAGATTAAAAAAACTCAAGCATGAAACCCTAGCTTATTATACTAGAAAGTTTCTTCATGTTAATTAAAAATGTAGTGAAGAGTTAGAAGGTTGAGTTTTACCATAGTTTTTAGGTCTCGGGCAAGAGCGAATGTACATTCATAGTTAGGAGGATAATCTAGTAGTCACCTGTTAAAATTAATAACAACACTGTTATTTTCATCATTTCCTTCAAGTGGGAATGCTGAAGAATTTATGTCCTCCCAGGCCCAATTTAGGTTAATAAACACCCCCAGCCAGATACTGTACCAATCACCTGGCATATATGTTAATCGATCTTAGATAATTTTCAGTCAAAACCATTATGTATCATTATAGTTGCAACCTTAATTTAACCTTTTGAGGTTTTTGACCAAAGCTTATAGTTAACTATTTTTCTTTCATTTAGTTTTCCAAATCTGTGTCACTAAAGCATTTGAA